TTAGTACATAATAGAGGAAGTTAATAATTCACTATGGTGGTTTTGGGTTTAGACATTGAGTGATGTTAATTCAAGGTGATGTAGTTGTAATACAATTAAGGGCACATAAGAAACTGGTTTGGCGAACATTAAGCTAGCATAAGATACAAAAAGACAATTTGTGGTTGTTCTTCCTCATGTTCTTCCTTATGTATGAAAGAATATTTGCTTGAGAGTGAGGGGTGTCCTTTGTGTACCTGGACCTGTTCATGTGAAAGGCACATGCTACCTTTGTTTCCTGTGATGATGACTTTGCAGAGTTTGGGGATAAAAGCCCTGGGATAGCATTCAATAAACGGCTTCTGGTCACCTGAACAGGAGTCCAGTCTCTTTCTTTCTCCCCACTTTTTTTCTCTTTATATCTGTCCCTCCAGTTTAAATCACTGACACCATCACACCACCAGAGACCTCCAATCCCTGCAGGGGCAGGACCCTCGCACCTAGTCATGACAGATAAGCAACATGCCAGTCCAGTCTCTCAAATTCTCTACAAGATGTCTCTTTTTCATATTCAGTTACCTGTGCCGAATTCTCAAGACAAAATTTGAGCCCATAATTCAAATGTACAGTCCCTTTGAAATTTTTTCCCTTTTTATAACAATACTACTACCACAGTACCCTAGAGAGATTGTAATGTCAGTCTTAACTCTCACCCTCCTTCAAATTGAATTTTCAATTGTATACTCAATGTTTTGATTTTTCTGGTAAAATATTTATTCTGTACATAATAAAAAGTTTAAAATATAAATTTTAGTAAAAAATATCCTGTTATAAAATTCTGTCTACTACAAGAATTATTTTTTTAAAAAACAGAGGACATGAGATTTTTTTTTAAGACACAGGGAAAATACTAAATCACAGAAAAGACTAAAGTTACAACAATTATAACAAATTTAATATTAATTTTTAGTCACAGTAGAGTTTGTAAGTTTTCTACAAATTATATATTGGTTTTATAATAGCAAAAACTAAATATTTTTGTTCCCTCTCATTCTGACAGTCATCACTTCACAGCAGGATTACTGTGCTATCTCTGGTTAATTCCTTCTCCATCTCTCCCAAATTCAATTAATCTTGCTCACACTTTCGGGAACACTGTTTTTAAAATTGGATTTGTCGGCCAGGCTCAGTGGCTCAGCCTGTAATCCCAGCACTTTGGGAGGCCGAGGAGAGTGAATTGCCTCTGCCCACAGGGTCGAGACTCGCCTGGACAACTTGGTGAGATCTCGTCTCTACAATAAATCAAAAATTAGCTGGATGTAGTAGTGCACACCTGTAGTTCCAGCTACTTGGAAGGCTGAGGCAGAAGGATCGCCGGAGCCCAGCAGGTCAAGGCTGCAGTGGCTGGGAGCAGTCACTGCACTCCAGCCTGGGCAACTGAGTAAGACTCCAACTCAAAAAAAAAAATTGGATTTGTCATGTAAGGTATTTGTTTAGAGGCTAAATTGGCATTCTAATAATTCCTGAACTTAGACTTTTCAAGGTACCAAAATATCTGATTTATCCATTTCATCCGAAACTATCACTCAATATTTGCCAAAATACACCCTCTATTCCAACCATACTAACATCAAGGTACTAAAATATCTGATTTATCCATTTCATCCAAAATGATCACTCAATATTTGTCAAAATACATTCTCTATTACAGCCATACTAACATCATTGATAACAGCAATGTGCTCTGCTATTTATTTTACTTTCCTTGATGGTATAGAAATTAGACACTGTATACTTTATTTATATATTTAAAGTGCTAATCAAATAATAATCTCAATCTACCTACATTTTATCCCTTTCTTAAGGGCTGACTCAGATACAACTGCTCCAACTCCTTTTAAAATGTTAATTGGACTTTTATGAATTATACCATATGTGGACTGATTCTATCCTGATGAATTATTTTTGCGACTTTGTCATAATTCCATACTGGATAGCTTTTCATTCCTTGTCTCCAATTCTTCATCAGATTGTGACCACCAAGTGTTAAACACACAACAAGGGCTACTAAATGCAGTTGATACTTTATTATATAATTATTTAAATTCTTATCTGCCACATATGTTAAGCAACTTCCCCAAGATCTTCTCTCGGATCTGTCGAGTCTTTACACAATATACAATAGGATTCATCAGAGGAGGCACCAATAAGAACATATCTGCAATAAGAATGACAACAAGGGGATTTTTGTGCTTGGCAAAGCGATGCATGGCAGCAAGGGTGATGATGGGCAGGTAGAAGATGAGCACAGCACAGATGTGAGACACACAGGTACTTAGGGCCCGGAGCCTCTCTGCCAGGGAGGCAATGCTCAGTACGGTCTTCAAGATCAGTGCATAAGACAAAACAATCAATGCCAAGTCAATCATAGTACAGAGAGCAACAAAGAAGCCATAGATGACATTGATCTTGTTGTCAGAGCAAGCCAGTTTCATAGTATCCTGATGAAGACAATATGAATGAGAAAGAAGATTCTTTTGACAATACTTTAATCTCCTTAGAATAAAGGGGAATGGAAGCACTAGGAGAATGCTCCTAATGGCCAAAATTAATCCCATTTTAGCAACCCTGTTGCTGGTGAGGATAGAGCTATATCTTAAGGGATTGTGAATGGCAAGAAAGCGATCCAAAGACATAATGAGAAGCACAGAGGATTCCATGACAGTGAATCCATGGATAAAAAACTCCTGAGCAAAGCAGGCACTGGGTGAAATTCCCATGGCATTGAATAAAAAGATCCTCAGCATGGTAGGAAGGGAGGAGAGTGACAAGCCCATATCAGAGACAGCCAACATGGCAAGAAAATAGTACATGGGCTCATGAAGTGAGGGATCTGTTGTTATGATAAGAAGGATAGTGCTGTTTCCCAGGATGGCAACCAGGTACATGAGGCAAATGGGGATGGAAATCCAGATATGGGCATGTTCCAGTTCTGGGATCCCTACCAGAAGAAAAACCTTGACCTCTGAGTTATTGAGAACAGACATGATGAGTGGAAATGGGAGCTCTTTAGCCAGATCTGAAAACACATAAACAAAAAAGTCATACTTTTGCATGAAACTCGGTTTTTATGGGGATAAGACGTTCATTTATATTCTGTGCTAAGAAACATATTTGACATGTTAATCCACAGCAATCTTCAAAATTTACCATGTCTTTTTTTTTTATTTTTTTAATGTTCACATTTTCCAACACAGCAAATTCATTTCTAACAATATGTCCTAAGTTTGTGATTTTTAACCCCCTTTAAATTATTTTTTTGTAGAGACAAATTTTCACTATCTTGCTAGGCTGGTCTCAAATGCCTGGGCTCAAGCAATCCTTCTGCCCTGGTCTCCCAAAATGCTGGGATTACAGGTGTGAGCCACCGTACTCAGCCAACATTTTAACCAAATATCTAAAGCATATCTAAGCAAGCCTATTTTGATTGAAACAGTAATAAGGTACACAGAATTTCCACTTCTCCACTGCTATTTCTATACAATCTTCAGCAGTGCCTGTGTTGGCTTTACCACAAGATCCCTGACCTTTATGGAAGAAACTTTGAAAGTAATTATCTAAGAAAATAATCAGTGATCACTGAAACTATTTGATAAATATTAAATGTAAAGTAAATTTATTGACTAATTTACCATTTAAATTTATGAGGTAGGTACTCATCATGTACATTTTATATATGAGTAAATATGTCTTCTATCAAGTATTATATAACAAGAAACATAAATATTTCTGTTCAAACACATTTGTAACTTCTTTAATTTTAAGTTATATAAACTATCTGAGTCTCATTTTAGATCTGTAAAATAAATTCAATCTTGGCAGATTTTTATGTAAACATTAGAAATTTATCTACATAACAAACTAAATCCCTATTTTGTTTTTACAGTCTGTGTTTAAAAGTTCACAAATTACATTTTTAGAGGTAAGACTATACAATCTTGTAACTTATTTTCATGTTTTGGGGCCTCAGGATAGACCAAAGTTGAATAGTTGGTATAAGTTACCAGAGAAACACAAATTTCTAAGATAGCCATCACAAATTCCTCCTATGTTTAATAAGCCAACTGAATAAATGGATAGATAAATACAAATTATGATATTAATAATTTCAACTGCCAAGAGATCAGAAAAAGTGCAAAAGATAAAGGTAAACCCAATGGAAGTCTAGAACTAACAAGACACGTTTATTCCACTCCAGAATTTTTTTAAAGTCATCAGTTTTCAATGGAAAACACAGAGGACACTGGAAATAATTGGACTCCTCTAAATTGAAGCTTCACTGTGAATTAATGTTGTATTTTGTATTTTTTGGAGGATAAATAAAAAAATAATTAATATCAAGCAGACTTAGGCCAATACATTTTACTTTTTCTAAATACTATCTACTAAAAAATTTCTTCACAGCTTGCGAATGAATTTGCATCTTCTAGACTGCCAAAAGGCCCTGAACGGTTTGACCATGTTTTACTCATCTCCTCCCAGAGTAGGGAGCCTAACGCCAAACCCAGGCTAAGTATATTTTGGAGATAGTAATAGATTTTGAGATCTCATTAAAAGCATCCTGTCCATTATTTGTCCAACTATGCATAGCAAGTTTGATTCTGATCCCTCCTCCCTGAGAGTCATAATATAAATTCTCATTTCTTAAGGTACTGTCTTAATCATGTTTCCCTTTTATTTTCCTTTTTAGAGGAGAGGTATCGCTTTAGATCTTTCAGGGATTTCCTTCTGTCGTGCATCTTTTGTTTTGGCAGCTTCTAACAATGTTTTATAATTTTCATGCAACCCTACCTGACCCAACTCTACCACAACTATACACACTAACTGCTGAATGTTAAAAGGCATGTATAAGCTTTTGTTTATCTTCATGTATCTGTCATCAGCGTGACACGTGGAATATGAAAGGCTACCAGCAAATATGCAAAGAACGAATTTAAGTGGAAGAAATGTAAAATATGTAGAATCACTTCTTAGCACCTTCTTCTGTTTTATTCCACAGGAGCAACTGAGGGTTATTGATGTCCATTTCTATCACCCATATTTTTAGTGGTAAACATATTCTTATACAAACTATTCGTTTGTACATGGATGAAATTCAGAAAAAAATAGCTCAAAAGAAATATTCAGAAATATTGACATGATCGTTTGTATCTGGGCTCATAGGAGTAAATGTAATCATACAGAAAAATGTCCAAAACAGACCCAAAAATCAACCCTACAGAACCCTGAGGAACAGCAAGATTGTTGAGAGGATGTTGCAAAGAGAAATCCAGTAGTTGCCAAAAGGAGAGGTTTTTCAAGGGAGACAGTCCTCAGAACAAGTATTGCCCAGACCACTTGAAATTTCTGTTCTTTAAGATTAAAAACCCAGTTCTCATGCTAATACACAAATATCTGGGCCTAAATCTCTGCTTAAAAACTTACCCTGTGTGAATCTGGGCAAGCTGGTTAAGCCATCAAATAGTTATTTTCTCTTCTACTAAATGTTGTAAACAACAGTAGTTATCTGACAGTTTAGACAGTCTGATATAGTCTAAAACATAGTGAAGATAATCAATAAATACCAACTATTAATAATTATTGCTGCAGCTTCTACAATTTTTACAATGTACTTTTTAAATTTTATAATATAGTGCTAATAATGTCCCTAGGCATTCTTTCTAGACATCACATCCTAGACTGGCCAAGAGGGCTTTCAATTTTTTAATTGACGATAAAGCTTACTTTTATTTGTCATATTATTATGCTAATGAAACACTACTGATATTGGGGTATTAGTAAAACACCCTGATAATTAGCTTCCTATCCAACCTTCAAACCAGACCATCATTACTCTATTTACACACACACACACACACACACACACACACACATACACACACACACACACACACATGCACACACGTAAGTCACTTCCTCTTTCTCCTCATAGACATTTATTTAGATATAAGCTGCTTAATAAAGCTTTAGTTCTAGGTTTCCAAGCAGATTTTGAGCTCCTTGAACTTACCAGCACCAGATGCTCAGTAAGTTCCTGAAAGATAAGAGCAAGAACTCTTCGCTTTAGCCTACACTTTATATAGATATATCTGCTTCTGTTTTTCTCAGGAAGATAGACCCTTGAGAGTAATCAAGCTCTTGCATAAAAGGTTGGGCCTGGGGCTAGTATATTAACTCTTTTGTACTTAGGTACCTAAACAGGAGCTAGAAGAAAATTGTGAGACAAAACATCTTAAAGATTATTCACATGAAAGGAAAACACTTCATATCACATTGATAGGAGAAATTTGATATGTGGTATTCATAGAAATTGGGAGGTATTGTTAAAACAACAGGCCCTTTGTAATCAAAATACTTTGGTTCCAATTCTCAAACACACCACTTGACTTTTCCTCACCTCAGCTTAATCATCCACAAAAATGGAGATAGTATTACACAAGCATCAACTATTTATAAAAGTATTTTACAAACTACAAAATGGCTTACAAGTAATTTTATCTATTTTTATTATTCATTTTGGCAGAAGTCATTAGAGTAACATTTAACTAAACATGACCTGTCATATTCTGTTAGATTTCTGAACAAAATCAAAACCACATGATTCTTACACAATATATTGCATTCACTAGAAGCAACTTGAGGGTTGATCACTGTTTTTGTTTTTTCATAATTTTTTATTTTTTTATCAGATGTATAGTGGTATAAATTAAACCACTATAGGTTATGAAACAATATAAAAATAAATATATAGTTGTTTAAAGTTTTCTAAGGCATATTCCTAAGTTAAAAGGAAAAAGTTTGACCAAAATAATGGAAAATTTTACATTATTAATAAACAGAATAATTGCTAATACAATTTAAAGAACAACATAAAAATATACAGCCAGATTTACTCAAATATGAAATACACTTCTCTGTGAATAAGAAAAGGAACAGAAATGTAAAACAAAAAGCAGGAATATGCCTATTCAACCCTAGGTTCCATGTCTGAAAAAGATGATGAATCATTAGAGGATAAATAAGATTAAACATTCTACATGTGAGATCAATTTACTTGAACTAAATTGACATATTAAAAAGTCATTGGGCTATTCAAAGAGAATGTTTTTTATACCCACCCTATCCTCTCAAGACTTTACATTTTATTATAAGCCAGTTTGATTTTCAACTGCCAGTGTTTGCATTTCTTTAAGTTAGGACTTTCATGAGCAAGCTCTGTCTGCATACAACATTCCAGAAGTCCAAGAGACCTAGATTCTTCCTGGATTCTACATATCACTCATTGTTAACAGATATAAATTTATAAATAAACCAGTTTTCTCATTATTAATGAGAATAACTTTGACACAAATATTCTAAACTGGCTCCCAAAGTTACTCAGAAAAAGCAAAACTGTGATAATTCCCTTGATAGCCACTTTCCTTTTTCTATATAATTATAGAAATACCCATACAGGTATTTCTTGGAATTAGCTACCAGCCAAATTATTCTAAAATAATTTTCTTGGTTTCTGCTTTGAGAGTAATCAAACCTATGGGTAAATAGTTCAGAAAAGAAGGCTTCACTGGGAATGGTCAGCATTAAATACCAAAGTCACTGATCTAAAACTGGTAAGAGAGGCAGGCTCTTGTTCTGCACTTGAACCACAAGATGGTTACTATGGAGATCTGTGACATTTAACATCTCTCAACAAAAGCACCAAAATTATAAGACCTAATTCTGAATTGACATCCTACAAGACTTGTTAAAAATAATTTACAAAGTTGCAAGAAGACAACAGGGAAAAATAAACTGAAATATAAATCTAAATTTAAGTAAAAGCCCGAAAGAAAAAAATAAACAAATTTTGAAAAGGAGAATAGAATTTGATCTATCCAAAGTAGAACAATAAAGGAGGGAAAAAATAAAAGTACAATACATAGAAGATAGAAAGGGCAGTCATCACTGCCTCAGCTTCACCTCAGATCATCAGGCATTCAATAAAAGAAAAAAAGGGCAGAAATAATTCTGAATAAAAAT